TCAAAATACCAATACTATTCCAAAAAAATGGGGATGGGAGAAAGGGACATCACATAACTTCCCAAAACCTTATGTCTTTGGAAAGAACTGAATCAAGAATCAATACTCCCTGGCTACAGTATAACTTAGAGGTAGAGCAGCTGCCTAGCATGGAGACCTGTTTGTTTATTTTACCCAGAATCACCCCTCCACACACACCCAACCAACAAATCATAATGAGAACAAGAGCGAGTATTTCACGCCTGTCATCCCGGCCAGTCAGAAGGCTGAGACCCAGAGGATGCAGGTTCAAAGCCAGTCTGGCAGAAAAGTCCCTAAGACTTCATCTGCAAAAGAATTTGCAAAAAACTGGGCTAACAGTAGACCAGTAGGTCCAAAAATGCGGTACATATACACAATGGAATTTTGCTCATCCATTAGAAAGAATAAGATCATGTCAATTACAGGGAACTGGATGGACCTAGAACAAATCATGTTAGGTGAGGTAAGCCAAGCTCAGAGACACACGACACATGTATTCTGTTATATGCAGAAGCTAGATCTAAAATATAATTGGACAGGAGGCCTCTAGGCATTCACTCACAAATAGACCAAAGGAACATTCCAGCAGCGGAGGAGCCCAAAGCTGTAACTCCCCTGAACGTGTAAAATATTATTTATTGAAACAAATTCCAGGAAATGGAAACATGGGTTATTTATGTTGTTGGTGGCAGTGGTGTTTTTTCTTTTTCTGTTTTTTTTGGGGGTTGGAGGGGAAGGGAGTGAAGAAAGGGAGGAGGATAAACAAATCCGGGCGTGGTCCTCAGTAGACACTATGAGGAAAATGAACTACGCAACTTGTGGGCAGGAATGGGAGGAGAAACAGAGAAAATGAAGGAAGGGTGACACTTCCCAAGAAGAAAGGCACTCAGGGCTGGGAATGTGGCTTAGCAATGGAGTGCTTGCCCAGCATGAATGAGGCCTGGGTTCGAGTTCCTTGATATTACAGAAACTAAAAATAAATAACTTTTTAAAAAAAAGATATGCACTCATTATTTGAACTGTGAAATGGTAACCCCTTTGTATGACACCTTAATAATAACAATAATTTTTTTTTTGGTCGGTCGTGGGGCTTGAACTCTGGGCCTGGGCGCCGTCCCTCAGCTCTTCAGCTCAAGGTGAGCGCTCTACCGCTTGACCCACAGCACCACTTGCGGTTTTCTAGTGGTTTATTGGAGATAAGAGTCTCACAGACTTTCCTGCCCGGGCTGGCTTTGAACCTCAATCCTCAGATCTCAGCCTCCTGAGTAGCTAGGATTACAGGCGTGAGCCACCGGCATCCAGCTTAACAATAAAATTATAGTTAAAAAAAAACTGGGCTAGAGGCATGGCCCAAGTAGTAGAGCATTAGATGAGCCAACAAATAAAACCCAGGTACCAGCAAAAAAAAAAAAGAAAAGAACAAGAACAAGATGGGCATTTAACGACGCAGACATTCATTCCCTTTTCAGGAAAAAGTCGTTCCCCCAACTATATAAAGATTCTGCACACACATCCACTTATCATGGCTACACCTTGAGGCATTAATTAAGTATAAAAAGAAAAACATCAACTAAGCCAGGGAAAGCAAAAGTGGTAGACAGTAACTCCAATACTGGAGTGACCTTGATGCTGTGCCTGATTATCAGCTTCAAAAGGGAGCTCCCTCAGCAAGGACCAGCGTACCACCCTGCTGGGCCGGCAAGAGCGGACCAGCGCACCACCCTGCTGGGCCGGCAAGAGCGAAGGGACTGGAGCAAAGGAGCCCACGCTGCCATTGGTTAGCAGGACTCACAGGCCGGGAGACCCGCCTCCTGGGGCGGCACTTCTTGGTAGGAGTAAGCCGAGTAAACAAGCCATGGTCCCTACCTGTCACCTCAGCTTTCATTCCTCCCACCCCACAGAGTGACACATCAAGCAAACAAAGCACCTGGCCCGGTGACAGCCCTCCCAGCACGGAGCTCCAGCGCTCTCACAAGTGCTTATTAATCGTGGCCACACCCAACAGAGAGAAAAGCTGGCCGCTCAGCCTGTTCATTTTCTTATTTTCTTTCTTTCTTTCTTCTTTCTTTCCTCCCTCCCTCCCTCCTTCCTTCTTTTTGTGCTGGCCCTGGGGCTTGAACTCAGGACCTGGCTGCTATCCCTGAGCTTTACTACTCAAGGCTAGCAGCACTCTACCACTTTGAGCCACAGCTCCACTTGTGGCTTTTCGGTGGTTTAAGGGGATAAAGAATTTCACGGACTTACCTGCCCTAGCTGGCTTCAAACCTCCATCCTTAGATCTCAGCCTTGTGAATAGACAGGATTACAGGCATGAGCTACCAATGTCTGGCAGCCTTTTGATTTTCTAGGGCTGCAAGGGGTCAAAAACGGAGCCAGGGAATCAAGGGGCTGACCAAAGTCACAAATAGGGACAGAAAAGTGAACTCAGAACCTAATACGTTCTTCTTCCAGCTACACAATTTCCTATGAGTCGTTGGTGGTTAATAAGTACCCAGAGTGCGCAGCCCCTCTTCATAGTCATGCTCTGAGTCTTGTCACAACATAATTTCAAAATAACTGACAGCAACTTTAAGAATTGGCAAGCTGCTGGGCACCGGTGGCTCACACCTGTAATCCTAGCTACTCAGGAGGCTGAGATCTGAGGATCATGGTTCAAAGCCAGCCGGGGCAGGAAAGTCCATGAGACTCCTATCCCCAATAAACCACTTGAAAACTGGAAGTGGCGCTGTAGCTCAAGTGATAGAGTGCTTGCCTTGAGCTGAAGAGCTGAGGGACAGCGCCCCGGCCCAGAGTTCAAGTCCCACGACTGACAAAAAAAAAAGGGGGGGGGAATGGCAAGCTTACTTGTCTCCCTCATAGCCCCGCCTGCAGTGAACGAGTATTGAATCGAGCTCAATCTCTGGGAGCAGCAGCGGTCTGCCAGTTGTTCACAAGTGGGTGAGTAGGAAAAACTCCATGTATTGAATGCCCTAAGCTCCTTGCAACTAGTTGCTCCTACAGCTAGACACCCTCTTCCTCAGAGACAACTACCACAGCAAGACAGGAAAGCAATTAGGATACAAAATTAATTAATATGTCTCTCAAGACCCCTGGCTTTTGACATTTAAAAGCAATCTTGGGGTGGAGACCCTGGTGGCTCAAGCCTCTAATCCTAGCTTCAGGAGGCTGAGAACTGAAGATCTAGGTTTGAAGCCAGCCTGGGCCAGAAAGTCTGTGAGACTCTTACCTCCAATTACCCACCAAAAAGTCAGAAGTGGACCTGTGGCTCAAGTGAATAGCACAGTAGTCTTGAACACAAAAGCTCAGGGACAGCACCCAAGCCCTGAGTTAAAGCCCCAGGACTGGCACACAAAGAGCAATCTTAGGCCAACATACATTAAAACCTTTATGGAACAGCTTATCCCATAAATTACTGAAATTCTTGAATAAATAGAAGAAAGAATTGAAAGGCTAAAAAAGAGCAGAAAGATGATCAGAATTTCTAGCAGGTCCTTGAGAGAACAGTATTTAACCAAAACCAGGGATTAATCTTATTTTAACAAGTGTCTAAAAATAACATGTTTAGGCTAGGTGCAGTTACCCAGGAGGCAGAGATAAGAGGATTGCAGTTTGAGGCTAGCCTGGGCAGAAAGATAGCAAGATCTCATCTTAACAAACAAGTCAGACGTGGTAGTGCAAACCTGTGTTCCCAGCTATACAGGAGATGAAGATAAGAGCACTGCAGTCTGAGACTGGTCCTAGAAAAAAGCTTATAGACACTATCTGAAAAACAGCTGAAGCAAAACAGGCCAGGGGGGAAGGGCATAGCTCAAGTGGTAAAACACCTGTATAGCAAATACAAGGCCCTGAGTTCAAACTCCAGTACCATCAAATAAACTAACATGCTTCTACCGTATTTCTTGCTACACAGAGAAATACTAGAACTCTAATAATTTAGCAGAGGATTGTTCTAAAAGAGGAAGAACGCAGTGGGAAGGGTAGAAATGACTTAAGAAGTCCTCATTTCTCTTCAAGGATACCAAAAATTCCCATTAGGGTGACCCAAACAAGGGCTGGAAGCATGGAGGAAAGCATATGTCTAGCAAGCATGAAAACCTGAGTTCAAATCCCAGCCCAGTACTCTAAAAGGAAAAGAATTATCCTAATAAGCTATACCTATAATCCCAGCACATATGTTAACCCTAGCAACTGGGAGGCTGAGGTGAGAGGATTGTGAGCTCAAGGCCAGCCCAGGCAAGCCCTTTTCTCACAAGCTGGGCAGCAGTGGCTCACATCTGTAATCCTTAAAAGAATCATACCCGTCATTTCAGGAAGCTGGGATCTGAGAATGGAAGTCTGAAGCCAGCTCAGGAAGACAAACCCAAGAGACTCGAAACCAGCAAAAAGATAAGGTAGAGGTATGACTCAAGTGATAGTGCATTACTGGCTGTGAGCAAAACAAACAAAAATGACAAACAAAAAATAAATAAGAACTTAAAACCCAGAGGTCAAGCCCCAGTACCAGCACAACAACCAAAAAGGAAGGTAAGAGGAAGGAAGGGATGGATTATCCCACAGATATGTGAATCAGAGGCAATTTTCAATTATAAAAGCTCAAGACAGAAGAATCTTAACAGTGGGTCATATTTACATGGCAACCCAATGAGAGGTAATTGTATCACTCATGGCTTGTATTTCCAAGCCCTTCTCCATGGAACTCTGTCAGCTTGAGGAGCACTGACCCTCAAGGCCCCCAGAGCAGGGTCTGGGCACAGGAAGTAAGGGAACAGACTGAGGGCTGGACTTGGGGCAGAAAGGAGCAGCGGCTGCACATGTGCACACTGCTTGGAGGAGGTCAAATAAACGCCTTCTTTTTTTTTGAGGAAAGATCAAAAGGAAGATCGTTTCATAATATCTACGAATAAAGCTGCAACAGATCAGCCGAAAGACCATTGAACCCCTCTCATTTCTCAAACGAACCCCCAGACCTTATGACATACCTTTGCTTCATCGTTAATGTCCCAGGTGAAGGAAATGGCATTGTAAGCAATCTCCTCGATATTACTGATGGTATTGAAGCTTTCTTTATAGTCAGCTGTGTGAAGTAATGAGCAAGAGAAATAGTCATCATTCTTCAACATGAGATCACAGGAGCTCAAGCATCAAGCTTTCTACATTATCACCTCTAGATAATCTACATTAATATTTCATTGGGTTGAGAGAGGAAAAAAAACGAAGAACGTTGGGTGTGATGGAGCATGTCTGGAAGGCTAAGGCTGGAGAACACGAGCTGGAGGCCAGTCTGTAGGCCACCTTGGGCTACAGAGTGAGCCCTTGTCAAAAAGAAAAGAAAAAAGATGAACGAAAGACCCAGAGACAATAGAGACAATCTTAGATATATGTGATCCAGTTTTATTATGTAAAAATTAGGAAATGTAGATCTATAACGTTTGAGTAATGATCTCAAGGTCACAAAATTAGGCAAGGATTAGAATCCAGTTCTTCAAGTCTTCTGAAAAGACATGAAGGAAAAGGGAAAGCAATGCTAGGATCAATGGCCACTAGTGAAGGAGACAACGGCTTTGTGTGGACATGGTACCCAGGCAAGACCAGCTTTAGGAAGCGTGGATGTGCTCTGTGCTGCTGCCCACTGGTTATTTACACAAGATGAGCAGGCAGCACGGCTGGACGTGGACTGAGGAAAGACAGGCACTGCAGGGCAGTGGAATTTCCTTTTACTTATTTGGGTTTTTCTCCTCCTTATCACTATCTCCAAATGATGATCAGCCATCTCCTAATGAAGACATTGCCCCCCAAAAATGCACACGCCAGGCTGAGAGTAGAGCTCAGAGGCAGAGTGTTCGCCTGCAGGTGCGAAGTGCTGGGTTCCACCATTAACACCCCAAAGAGGGAAAAACAAAACAAGCAAAAAACAAATGCACAGAAACGGAGGGACAAGGGGTGAGCAAATGCAGCAGCGGCACTCACTAGACAGTATGTGGAAAATGAACTAGACAACTTGGGGGGGGAGACGGGAGGGAAAAATTGGGAGAGAGTGAGGGAAGGGAAAACATTGTCCAAAAAGAAATGTACTCTTTACCTGATTTATAAACTGTAACCCCTCTGTATATCACCTTAATGATAACAATTTTTTTCAAAAAAAAAAAAAACACAATGCAGATTGAAAGCAGGTGCTTCTTTGCTGAGTTCTGGGGGACTCACGCCTGTAGTCCTGGCTTCCCAGGAGGCTGAAATCTGAGGATCTCAGTTCAAAGCCAGCCTGGGCAGGAAAGTTGGTGAGACTCTTTACCTCAAGTAACCACTAAAAGGCCGAAGTGGCTCAAAAGGTAGAGTACCAACCCTGAGCAAAAAACAGCACCCAGGCCCTGAGTTCAAGCCATCACGCAGGGGCGCACTTGTGAACGTGCGTGCGCGCGCACACACGCACACACACACATCCCAAAAACCCAACCAAACGAGGTGCTCCTATGCTGGCTGGCTAAGGCTCCAGCCCTGGTGCCACATGGAAAGCTAGTGCTGGGGCAAGGCCTCGGGGAGGAAGCAAGGGCACAGCACGGATTCCAGGAGGCCCAGGGCAGTTTCTGGAAGAGATCAGTGGCTGGCATAAAAATTCAACTGCTTTCGGCAGGAAGCTGACCGCTGCCAAAAATAACTGGACTGCAAAGGCTGGGGCGCGGGCTCCTCTGAGGCTGAGAGTGGGTGCGGGCACGGGCGCCTTACCTATGTCAATGCACCTTTGTTTAGCCGTGTGCTGGCGAGAGTGCCAGTACTTCCAGTGCCGTAGCTGATCCTCTCTGCTCTTGTCTTCCGCAAAAACCACCATGATCACGCTCTGCCAACGAGAAGCACCGCTGCGTTCAGATCTTACACTTGAAGGTTTTCGATTGGAGCTGCTTCAGGCCTGGAGAGGTTAGGACCTGGAGACAGCAGCAGCGGGACCTGGAGAACAGGAGATGGGGCAGAACTTACTCGAACTTTGCTGATGGGGTGGTGGATCCCTTCGTTGCTGCTCACCTCCTTCAAGGTGACGGGGTAGAACTGGCCTTTGTTGAGGTACGTCATCGTGCTGTCTCCCGGCTTCTGCCGCAGCGACTTGGATGCTTCTAAGGTATACTCAAAATTGTTCCTGCAGGACAAAATGCCACACAGCTCTAATCCAGTCTTTTGGAAGCTTCTGGTATTTTAGTACAGTGAAGAAGAAATGCTTCAGTGTGGGATGTACTGAGAGAACAGACCAGCAGCAAGCACAGAACTGACCATACCATAGAATGAGAACCCGCTACCTTTTTATAGGTTAAATAGAATCTTAGAACACCAGCACCAGCAATTCTCCAATCCCTCAGATGGGGTATAATGGAACGCTGACAAGAAATCTTAGGATGTGACATTACAATGAGATGTTGGGAGACTCGGGCTGTCTGGAAATGAAGAGGGCAGGATCTCCTAAGACACACTGCCAAGCTGCTCCTCATTGACAAAGGTTGCAGGAGGAGGCAGGAAGCCACGCACTAAGTCCAATTTGGCATGCGCATTACTCTTTTGCCCTTTCTGCTTGAGATTTCAACACCTCTAACGTTCCTATTACCTGACATCCTCACTCGCACATGTCCCTGAAGAACCTCCCAGGCAAGAAGTCAGCAAACGACACTGATCTTTTTTTTTTTTTTCCTCCAGTCCTGAGGCTTAAATTCAGGGCTCGGGCACTGTCCCTGAGCTTCTTCTACCACTTGAGCCATAGGGCCACTTCCAGACTTTTCTGTTTATATGGTACTGAGGAATCAAACCCTAGGCTTCATGCATGCTAGGCAAGCACTCTACCACTAAGCTACATTCCAAACCCAACATTGATCTTTATAAATAAAGTTTTATTAGAATACAGCCATACCATCTACTTATGCATTACTCGTGGCTTCTACTGCATTATGACAGCACAGATGGGTAATCACAGAGTTGATGAAAGGCCATAAAGACCACAAAACCTAAACTATGTACTAGAGAACCTGTCATGTGAAAAGGTTGCCAAGCCCACCCCAGACTCTAGGTTGTGACCTATGCAGCCTGGGGCAGATATGTAGAGGAAATCCTAAACCTCACAATCCTTTTTTTTGGTTGGTCATGGGGTTTGAACTCTGAGCTTGGGCGCTGTCCCTCAGCTCTTTAGCTCAAGGTGAGCACTCTACCACTTGAGCCACAGCACCTCTTCCAGTCTTCAGTGGTTAATTGGAGATAAGAGTCTCACAGTCTCTCCTGCCTGGGCTGGCTTTGAACCTCAATCCTCAGATCTCAGCCTCTTGAGTAGCTAGGATTACAGGTGCAAGGCTCACAACACTTTTTAAAAATTATAATATAGAACAAGTTTTAAAAAACACATCTAAAATGAGATTCTCAATTAAAAACAGACACACAATAAAAAAACTCCGAAGGTCTTTGTAAGTATTCCTAAAGAATTTGGAAAATACACTCCCTCCCAGAATGGGCTGCAGTCTTATGAAGCTAATGAGCTGTCAGGGCTATTTATTTTAACACTAACAGGGCCAATTTTTAAAAGCCACTTAAGGCCGGCACTAGTGACTCAGGCCTGTAATCTTAGTTGCTCAGGAGTCTGAGATCTGAGGATCATAGTCAAAGCCAACCCGGGCAGACAAAGCTGAGACTCACATCTCCATTTAACCAGCAGAAAACTAGAAGATGAGTTCAAGTAGTAGAGATGTCAGCTGTGAGTAACAAAACTGAATGAGTGTATAAGGCCCCGAGTTCAAGCCAAAGTTCAGCACCAAATATAAAAATGCCACCTTCACCCTAGCAGTGAGCCACTGTTGGGACTGACAGTGTATTCTTTCCCTAATGAACCTTCCCGTTGCTCTCACTACATCTGGATCTCGCTTCAGCTCTTCTTCTGCAGGACCCAAGTGGGCAGAGGTGGCTCACTTGATGTTTCTCCTGCATTCTCACCTAATGCTATGCTTTGAAGCAGAGGGGGCCCCTTTGATCTAGTGGAGTCTGCAGCTCTCCTTACGTGTTCTGTCCCACTGTATCCCAGAAAGAAGCCAAGGAAGGGAAAGCACCAACACCAGGAGCTGAGGAAGCTGGGAACCATCAGAGTCCAAAATCAAGTGCGCTACAGCAAGTGTCTTCTCCCCAAGACCAGGCCAAAGTCAGAGGCAGAGGAAGGAGAAGCCCGCCAAAGCCACCTCGGATTCGATAGTGTCGGGTGCAATAGGGGAAGAGCTCATAAGTGCTGAAAACTGAAAAGTCAAAAGACAACGATTACCCAGAAACACTGTCAAACACATAGTCCTCTGAGTTCATGCCCGGCATCCGCAGACTGAGGTCCGAGGGGAAGAAAACCTGAAATATTAATGTAATAAGCCACAACCATTTAACCATCATCAGTTACCAGCAGCTGAGGTCTTCAAAGCACATGATATGTGGCTTCCGGCACATGTTATCATTCCGATGTTTGTTTCAAAATAAAAATTCTAATGGAGCCCGGCACCGGTGGCTCACGCCTGAAATCCTAGCTACTCAGGAGGCTGAGATCCGAGGATCACCGTTCAAAGCCAGCCCGGGCAGGAAAATCTGTGAGACTCTTATCTCCAATAAACCACTAGAAAACCAGAAGTGGCGCTGTGGCTCAAGTGGTAGAGCGCTCGCCTTTAGCTGAAGAGCTCAGGGACAGTGCCCAAGCCCAGAGTTCAAGCCCCAAGACAGACCAAAAAAAAAACAACTTCTAATGGCTGGGCACTGGTGGCTCACAGCAATAATCCTAGCTATGTAGGAGACAGATCTGAGGATCATGGTTCAAAGTTAGCCCAGGCAGGAAAGTCCAACTCTTATCGCCAATTAACCACCAGAAAACCGGAAATGGAGCTGTGGCTCAAAGTGGTAGTGCTAGCTTTGAACAAAAAAGCTCAGAGACAGCGCCCAGCCCTAGAGTTCAAGCCCCATGATCAACCAAAAAAAAATTTTTAATTAAAAAATGAAAATTCTGGGCTGGGAAGGTGGCTCAGTGGTAGAGCGCTTGCCTTGCATGCATGAGGCCCTGGGTTCGATTCCTCAGCACCACATAAGCAAAAAGAAAAAAGCCGGAAGTGGCGCTGTGGCTCAAGTGGTAGAGCGCTAGCCTTGAGCTGAAGAGCTGAGGGACAGCGCCCAGGCCCAGAGTTCAGGCCCCACGACTGGACCCCAAAACAAAACAAAACAAAACAAAAACACGAAAAAATGAAAATTCTAAATCAGAAGTTTACATTTTTAAAATTATCAAAAAGGAAAACATCCACTTCTATATATCATTTTGGTAAATTAAACTCTCCCTGTAGCCAGGCATGGTGGCACATGCCTGAATCCCCAGCTCTCAGGAGATTGAAGCAGGAATAGATCAAGTGTAAGGCCAGCCTGGGCTATATAGATAGATTCTGTTTCTAAACAAACAAACAAGATGATCCATGTATACACCCACAAAATGCCTGTGATCCACTGTCTCCTTTCCTACTCCCACACAGCCCAAGTGTTCAGACTCTAGAATCCGCAACCCCAACAGCATGAGGTCTGGTAGCTGAGTTCGGGCCGAGTCTCAATGGGTCTGCTACTGGAGTAGCTACCTCCACCTCAGAGGCTGTTTCCCCCACCAGGGCTCTAAGATTGGTTTCCAATGCCCTAAATCCCGAACTTGCCCTGAGTGTGCTGTGCCTACTCATGAGCCCTCAGAACTCCTTGGAACTAATTTGTAAATTTCATGCCATGCGCTATGAAGTACTTCCCTCCCTCCCCAACTGCTCCACCAAGCAAGAAGCACCCAGCCAACACATGAGCCATGCTTCGTGTGAACACGAGCTGCCGGGAGCTTGCCTGGGTCCAAGAATACCAGCTGCAAGCAGACTGTGCGAATCTGTCTGTGGTCAATGCAAGATGAGGCCTGGGGTTCCCTCTGGCTCTCTCGCCAGCAAATCACTTCAATGAAATCATAATTGTTAACTCAGCTGCCGGGAAGATTAGCCCTGTGGCCTGGATGATAATTTCTGGATTTATAGGTTTAGCTTACAAATTATACCCATGGGCCTTTTCTCTTCAAAACAAATCTTGTATTCCTAATCCACTCGCTGCAGGCTGAGTTTCAAGCTTACATAACAAGGAAAAGGTGGAACCCAATACTTAGACAAACACAGCACAGTCTTAGGAAGATTTTTTTGTTTCCTGTACCTCCTGAACGCCCTCCTTGAAGGTCTCAGAGAAGGTGGAGTCTGGAGTCCGCCGCTGAGCATTGGGAGGCTGAGCGCCCGAGCTGAACTGGTCTGCGGTCAGATTCCGGTCGAACACCACCACGCGCTCCGTGGGCTCGGGGTGATACCCTGCGGGGGGGATTCCCACAGCAAAGCCATGTGGCTGGATTTCCGTCTTGATGGAGTGTGTAGGCATGGTTGCTATGGAGACCGTGACTGTAGTATCCGGCGCAGTCAGATGGCCCCTCTTCTCGACGCCCAGCTGGTTGCCGTGGGGAAGGACGATGTTAAAGGGCACGTTTTTCAGGACCTGCACTCTGTTTTCTCCGGCAGCAATGAGGGGCTGTTCAGTCACATTTGGGATGCTGTTTCTTTAAGAAAGAAAGAAAGAAAAAAAGGAAACTGCCTTTTCAAATCCCATGCTGATGACAGTTTTTTGAGAACTCTTTTGGGGGTGCTGGGGATCAGACCCAGGGCTCCAGAATGCCACAGAAGCTTCCACCAGAGCCACCCCTTCCCTGCCCCTGACAATTTGAGTTCCTTACTGAAGCAATGCAGTTGGAGGAGATCAACTTAACAGTCAAAAGCCCAAAAGCACAAAGTGACATCTCCTTGAAATACTGAGGACTCAAACCACACCTTTCCTTTCCATAAACCTAATACAAATGCCCATATTTTACTGTAAGCCTGAAGGCACACACGTAAACTGATGAATTGGGGCTATAGTACCGACTCTGGAGTCAGACTGCCTGGGTTCAGGTTCTGTGTCAGCCTGAAGCTACTCGTCTCTCAGGGCTCACCCTCACCTGTGAAATGGGGTAACTTGTCTGTCCTCTCAGGGAGCTGAGGGAGGAAGGCAGGGCCCATGCCAAGCGCAGGGAGTGATGCCAGCACACAGTGGCTCAACGAGAGGCTGACTTTACCCTTTTCTTTTCCTAACACTCATGCTCTTTGGTTTTCTACAGAAAGCCTAGTATTGCTGGGCGCTAGTGGCTCACGCCTGCAGTCCTAGCTACTCAGGAGGCTGAGATCTGAGGATCAAGGTTCAAAGCCAGCCTGGGCAGGAGAGTCTGAGACTTATCTCCAATTAACCACCAGAACACTGGAAGTGGTGCTGTGGCTTAAGCAGTAGAGTGCTTGCCTTGAGCTGAAGAGCTGAGGGACAGCCCTCAAGCCCAGAATTCAAGCCCCACAACAGACAAAGAAAGAAAGAAAGAGAGAGAGAGAGAGAGAGAAAGAAAGAAAGAAAGAAAGAAAGAAAGAAAGAAAGCCTACTATCACCAGGTGCTATCACCAGCAAAAAGGCTGGAAGCGGAGCTATGGTTTAGGAGGTAAAGCAAAGGGACAGCATCCAGGCCCTGAGTTTAAGTCCCAGGACTGACACCAAAAAAAAAAGGCTAATTATCATCTTGTACCAGTATAATTTTTCATGAAATTTTAGCTTAACTGTTGTGCAATATTCTATTACTTCTAATGGGTAATATTAATGTGTTTTTAAAGCCCCCTAAATCTTACAGGCTGAAAAAGCAAGGAAAGCAGCAGCTGTGAGGTTTGTATGTTTCAAGAACAATAACCTGTTCATAACATATGGTATAACCTGACAAGTGTCTTCAAAGAAGTTTTCTGCCAGGTGTGGGGGCACACACCTGTAATCCCAGCACTCAGGAGGCTGAGGTAGGAGGCACACATCTATAATCCCAGCATTCAGGAGGCTGAAATAAGAAGGCCAGACTAGGGTACATAGTGAGACAGTCTCAAAAACATTTAAAAAGTTTTCATGAGCCTGGGAATGTGGCGTAGTGGTAGAGTGCTTGCCTAGCATGCATGAAGCCCTGGGTTCGATTCCTTAGTACCACATCAACAGAAAAAGCCAGAAGTGGTGATGTGGCTCAAGTGGTAGAGTGCTAGCCTTGAGCAAAAGCAGCTCAGGGTCAGTGCAAGCCCCCAGGACTGGCAAAAACAGAACAAAACAAACAAAAAAAGTTTTCATGACTTGTAGCCATAAAGTTAAGACAATATCCTGAAAGTTGTTGGGTTGTTTTTTTTTCCGGTTCCAAAACTGGAATTTAGACTGGATACCTGACACTTTCACTCACTGGCTAGTGCTTGACCAAGTGAGCACTGCCTCCAAACCCTATTTCCTGACCTATTTAAAAAGTACCTTCGAGAGGAGTTGGAACAGCATTTATCTGCTGAGTTTTACTCAAGCAGCTATTCAAGCATCATGGCGTTTACCGTGTGTGCGCTTTCCTCGGGCTTTGCCCATGCTCGGCGAGCAGGGCAGCAGCCCCTGATCTTTCTGAGCCAGAATGACCATGGAACCCAGGCTGACTGCAACCTCCGCTGTCTCCTGCTTCTACTTCCTGAGCGCAGGGATGTTAGGCATGTGATGCCACATCCTCCTTATTAAGTGGGTCTTGAAGCAAACAGGTTATCACTAGAATCATCCTTTGGAGGGGCAGAAATTTGATTCGATCACTTTCTAGAAAAGGCAACTCTGCTTAACAAACTGAGCTCTACTCAGAACCAGAGACCAATCAGAAATGAAACCTGAACTTCCGACATTACGAGTCCATTTACCCATCTCTCCCACTAGTGTTTGTTCACTTAGACAAAGTTCCCGCTTTATTTCCAGAAAGGCCGCGTTCTTCAGAGGCGCTGTTCCCAGCGGTGTGGTCCCCATTACCTTTTGCTGTTCTCTGGCTCTGGGTGTTCAACCTCTGGCTTTGCCGTGGATGACCGTCTCTCCCTCGGGACCTAGAACATTGACACATGATAAGAATTCAGCTCTTAGCCGGGCGCTGGTGGCTCACGCCTGTAATCCTAGCTTCTCAGGAGGCTGAGATCTGAGGATTGCGGTTCAAAGCCAGCCCGGGCAGGAAAGACCGTGAGACTCCTATCTCCAATAAACCACCAGAAAACCAGAAGTGGCGCTGTAGCTTAAGTGGTAGAGCGCTCGCCTTGAGCTGAAGAGCTGAGGGACAGCGCCCAGGCCCAGAGTTCAAGCCCCACGACCGACAAAAAGAAAAAAAGAAAAAAAAAGAATTCAGCTCTTCCCAGGTGAAGAGAATTCACCCGAAGATTCCTGTGTTTCTCAGAGAATTTAACTGTTCAATTACTAGGCTCTGGTAATACTCACTGAGGCACCGATTGCTGGCAAGGAGCTGGCGGACTGTCACAGTGGTCGGTAAAAAGCAGCTGTTTTTAGTTGCCACATCAACTTAAGACATCACAAATTATCTTTGGAGAATAGGCCTTTTCTTTTATGGGGGGTGCCAGTACTGGAGTTTGAACTCAGGGCCTGGATAAAAAAGTGAGCCACAGCAGCTCACTTTGGGCTTTTTGGTAGATAATTGGAAGTAAACATCTCACAGACTCCTGCGGGGAGCTGGTTCTGAACCACATCCTCACTCAACCTCCTGAGAAGCTAGGATTTCAGGTGTTAAAAGAAAACCCTCGGGAGAGAAGAAGCTATGAAGCCACACCAAGCAATCCAACTTCCTTTCTGCCGCCCCTCCCCTCAGACCTATGGGAAATGACAAGGAAGCGCCACAGGGCACCCCCCCTTCCTTCCCGAAACTCCCCAGACACTTCGCGTGAGAAGTGTCCTTACATGCTTTGCAGTCATACGTCCATTACCCAAAGGGCAAATCTACGACTCTGATGACTCCTCATCCCTTTGTCAGGGAGGTAAAGAACAGGCAGATGTTAGTGGGTTCACTGTGACCCCAATCCAGCCAGATACAGACAATATGCGTGACAATGTGTGACAGTGGTGTGACAAAACAAACTCTGTCTTGTGTACTAACAAGGTGCTTTTAAAGCTTTATTGGTTATCTAGTAGTAGTAACTGATTCTGACAACTAAAGAATGAAAGCAAGTAATTCATCCAAAAAGAACACTTTATCACAAGAATCCTGGCAAGTCCCACTACAAAACTGTTACTGTTAATGGACAGACATGAGGAGAATCTCTATCTCCTGAGATATAAAGTACTTTCATACTTTCAAGACACTTCATTTAGAACACACACATACATGCACATGCATGCACACACACGCACACACGCACACACACACACACGAGTAGCTAATGTTTCTGGCAACAAACTTGTTGATCTTCTCTCATTCTCAAAAGTGTCCGTAAAAATCTGTCACCGGGGCTGGGAAGGTGGCTCAGTGGTTGAGCGCTTGCCTTGCATGCATGAGGCCCTGGGTTCAATTCCTCAGCAGAAAATTTTCAGCAGAAAAAGCCGGAAGTGGGGTTGAGTCTTAAGAGGTAGAACGCTAGTCTACAGCTGAAGAGCTGAGGGACAGCGCCCAGGCTCAGAGTTCAGGCCCCACAACCGACAAAAAAAAAAAATCTATCACCTCTTAATCCTCAGTTTTTACACTGATTTGAGATCAATGAAACAAGCCAGAAGAACAGATAAGACAATCATTTCCATTTCAAAGGAACTCTTCATGGCTACACTTTCCAGGCAAGGGTTTTCTAGGCCATCATTAGGTCTATGCAAATTTTCTGTTCATATTAGAAGAAAAAAAAGGCTACTGAAACCCCTCAAACACCACAAAGTGGACACATGGCCTCGTGCCAGGAAATAGCTCAAATTGAATTTTGTTCAGGGTTGGGGTTTGTTTTTTTTTTTTTTTTTTTTGCCCATCTAGTTATTTTTTCTTCCTCCTCTCTCATTTCCTTTTTTTTTTTTTTTTTTTAATGTGGTCAAAGGGCTTGATCTCAGGACCTGGGACTTATCCCTAAGTTCTTTTTTGCTCAAGATTAGCACTTTACTACTTTGAGCCATAGGATCAACTCTGGCTTTCTGGTGGTTATTGGAGATAGGAATCTCATAGACTTTCCTTCCTGGGCTGGCTGTGAACCATGATCCTCAAATCTCAGCCTCCTGAGTAGCCAGGATTATAGGTGTGAGCCACCAGCACCTGGCCATTTTCCTTTCTTTCTTCTTTCTTCTCTCTTTCTTTCTCCCCCTACCTCTCTTCTACCTTCCCTTTCTCCCTTCCTCCCCTCCTTTCCTTCCTTCTTTCAAGACTGGGTCTCACTGTATGGCCTAGACTGGTCTCAAACACTCACTATCTTCTTGACTTTGGCTTCCCCAGTGCTGAGATTACAAGCATGTGGCACCAGGCTCAGTTTTTATTTTTCAGATATTCAGGAGAGAATACAGGGTCAGAATGTAGTAAGAGGCAAACAACTGGCAAATGTAGGTAAAAATAGTCATTATTCGTTCCATTTTTAAAATTTTCTGTAATGGTAATACATGTACATAAACGGTAATAAATGTACACACACACACACACACACACACACACACACACTGTCATTAAGAAGTTCCCGTCTCTCTGAAGGCAGAGGTGATGGCATGGTGATTGCATCTACATCACGCACAGCGAGACAAAGGCCATGTGGCCCAGCTGGGCTTCTCTTCCACTGTGTTAAATTGTATTCTAAACTGAATAGCCTTCCCCAAATATCTGCTGTTGGTCAGAAGAAAGGACAGCGAGGGAAAGCAGAAGCAGGCATGCCCCAGAGCAGAGAGCAGGATGGAGAAAGAGGTCAGCCTCCAAAGTTGGGTGTGGGTGGTTCACGCCTGAAATCCTAATTACTCACGAGGCTGAGATCTAAAGGTACAGGTTAGAAGCCAGCCTAGGCAAGAGAATCTGAGACTCTAATCTCCCATTAACCCCCCTCCCAAAAAGGCAAAGCAGGGCTGTGGCTCAAGTGGTTGAGCAGTGGCCTTGAGCATAACAACTCAGGGACAGGCCCAGGCCTACCAGCATGAGCCAGGCCAGAGCTGAACCCTGAGAGGTACTTTTGCAAGACCTGAGTGTCCAGCATAGCACAGGTCATGAAGAGAAGATGACTGTGTTCTCAGGACTGCAAAGAGGATGCTGACAAAGACCAGTGCCCCTCCAGAGAATGAAAGCCACACATAGATCCATGCAGATTATAGATTATATTTAATTAAGCCTAGTTTAAGTGCCTAGATCTTATACCAGAAAGCCCTAGACAAAAATGTGGTATTTTGGATATTTTCCCCCATGATTCCTACAATCAAATAAAATCTAAGACTCTGCAATAACATTCACAGAAAATGTAATCAGCTGCCGGGCTCACACCCAGAATCCTGGCTACTCAGGAGGCTGAGATCTGAAGATCACAGTTCAAAGCCAGCCTGGACAGGAAAGCCCGTGAGACTCTTATCTTCAATTAACCACTCAAAAGCTGGAAGTAGAGCTGTGGCTCAAGTGGTAGAATGTTAGCCTTGAGCAAAGCTCAGAGACAGGTCCTAGGACCTGAGATCAAGCCCCAGGACTGGAACAAGGAAGAAAAAGACAAAGACAGAAAAAGAAGATGCAACGATCTGACTCACAGGAATAAAGGGGGCGCCATGCATGCACCGGCTCTGCCGGCCCTCACGGAGTAGGAACTACCTTTGGGCAGACACTGGCACCCGGTAAGACACATCTACCATCTTCCTTTATGGTGCCTTGTCCTTTCCAATATAGCCAGACAGCTCCTACTTCATATGTTCCCAAACAACCCTTTGATTCCATGATGGAAGATTTTCAGCTTTGAAGCACAGTAAGTCAAAGTACTCATTAAACTATTTACAGTCACTACAGAAGCAACTAGCATTACAATCTAGCAGCAAATGACTGTTTTATATGCGCTGAGCCAAGGGCATGAGAGCCGGCTGGGGTGGGGGGCGGGGGGGGGGAGTATACCTTGTAGTAGTCGTAGAGCAGGCCGAGCGCAGCCGCGCTGTCCTCGTCCCCGTTGATGCTCATCATCGCTTTGGTGGCCGCAGTGAGAGGGTTCTCCAGGAAAGACTTCCAAGCTTCATCCTCGCTAGTATAGGAGCGCCTCTGAGGATAAAGTGCTTCATTCTGAAGAACTAACACTGGCCGTTTGCTTCAGAGAGAGAGAAAGAAGAAGTCACACTTGCAACTGCAAAGGCATCGTGAGCTAATTTCCAAAGAACCAAACAAGCAATTCTTTGGTATTCCAATAAAAATAATCTATTGTTTCATCAGTGGTCCATTATGTCCAATGAAGAGTAGAAGGTCTGAATAAAAATACAGTCCAAGCCAGGGTGCTGATGGCTCATACTTGTAAACCTAGCTACTCAGGAGGCTGAGATCTGAGGATCACAGTTCAAAGCCAGCCCTGGCAAAAAGTCCATGAGACTCTTATCTTCAATTAATCATCAAAAAACTGCAATAGAGCTGTGGCTCAAGTGATAAAGTGTTAGCTCTGAGCAAAAAAGCTAAAGGACAGCTGGGCGCCGGTGGCTCACACCTGTAATCCTAGCTACTCTGGAGGCTGAGATCTGAGCATCGTGGTTCAAAGCCAGCCTGGGCAGGAAAGACTGTGAGACTCCTATCTCCAATAAACCACTAGAAAACCGGAAGTGGTGCTGTGGCTCAAGCGGTAGAGCGCTCGCCTTGAGCTGAAGAGCAGAAGGACAGTGCTCAGGCCCAGAGTTCAAGCTCCCCGACCGACAAAAAAAAAAAAGCTAAGGGACAGCACCCAAGCCCTGAATTCAAGCTGCAGGCAGGCAGGTAGGTGCATGCATGTGTGCATACACATGCACGCATGCGCCTGCGCATACACACACATGTACACACACACACACACACACACACACATAGATCAATGGGTCACCCCAAGATGCAGTCGGGTAACCTACAGCTAAGTTACATATGGGACCTACATCCAGGGTATGCTACTTAGCAAAACTCCAAAAACACCCCCAAGAAAATGCCAAACTATTCAAATATTCTACATAAAGACAAGGGCAGAGAGTAGGTTTCTTCTCTCCAAACTCACAATCAGGCTCTTCCCCAATATGCACAGGGCTCAGCACGCTCGCTGCTCAGTCATATTTCCCTCTTTCTCCCACTGATGCCTCACCTTCAAACAACTCCTTCCCGAAAACAGGGGGAGGAGCAGAAAGAGAAAGGTTTCCTTCAGTTACCCTGGGGGTAGACTAGAAAGTGAGGGTATTCTACCTTACCAGCACATTGAGCCTGGAATGTAGCCAAAGGGGGCTGTAAATCAATAAAGAGGCTTAATTTTCTAGCATGGGAGTTAACTGTTTAGCTTACTGATAAAACTCTTAAGAATCTACAATAAATGAAGCCACCAAATGAAAGCAGATTTAAAAAAAGAAAAAAAATAGGCAAAGAGATCTAGTTTTATGTATTTATTTTGCCAATCTTAGGGCTTGAACTCAGGGCCTCGACCCTGTCCCTGAACTTGTTTTGCTCAAGGCTATCACCAAAGAGATCTACTTTAAAAAAATCTTTACTTTCAGGGACCAAACTCAATAGTGTTGGGCCACCTTGCTTGGGGCTCCGGGTTCAAACCCCAGGACATAGCCATCCCCTCCTGAGCCCTCCCCCAATAAAATCTTTACTAGTTTTTCACACTGGGCAAGAACTACCTCACTCTGGCTCTGCGGTTTGCTGGGGAAAATCCAGAAAAATCAATGGTGAACTTAATGAAACTTTCTAGAAGATTTAAAGGATTAAAGCAAACATTACCAGTTCCAAAATTCTGAAATGTAAACCACCTCAACAACTTTACAGTCATTACTATTTAATAAGTCAATAAAGAGAAAAATAAAACATTGACTCTAGCAAAATGAAGCAGGTTATTGGGGGTTTGGGAGGGGGAGAAGGAAAAACATGGTTCACGTTTTGAACTGCTCTAGATTATCACTATTGTAGCAAGCAAAATTAGGGATCTATTCTCATTGCAACACCCAAATGAAATATGTAAATGGCGCAAAGGTGACCTACCTTTTCCAAAAGTGAATGTAGAAAGACTGATTATCTTTTTAAGTAATCAGCAAAGGTTAGTGTTTGGCAGTCACCCAGGCGCTTGAAAACCAGATATAGATTTAGAAAAAAGGAGAACATCTTTGAAAAGGAGAGGAAAAAAAAAAAAGAAGCCCAGCAACTTCGATTACCCTGGGCAGGAAGGTGGAGTGCTCTACTTCAGAGCCTAGGTCTTGACTCAGTCGCCTGCGAACAGATCCGGGAGCTGGCACTTGACAAAGGCCGTGTGGAGATGGTTTGCGATTTTAACACAAAACCAACGCTGAAGGATTGTTCCAAGTAGATGGCTTGTTTAGAAATGACGTTATATGTGTAAGATTCAACTTCTAACGAAATAAATATACCAAGCGGCCTTCTCGCTTTCAGAGCTCAGAGCTACAGAGGCGGTGCGGTACCTGGAACCGGGCCTGCAGAGATTTCCTGGTGCACTGCCCAGCTATTATTAATGCCTAATAACTACTTCAGAGCACTACCACAGCTTTGGTGCCCGCACTGCCAGTTTCTTCCAGCTTTCCCGTCTTCCATCCCCCACCTCCAATGTGCATAAGCATCAGAAAATAAACGTTTTCAGATGGCTTTACGTCTGTGATCACCCCGGGGGTGTTTCACCTTTCCAAAGTGTGCCTAAGGCCAACACGTTATAGCTTTGGAACTTCTGCCTTATCTTAACTGCAAGTCCCGAAGCCAACAACACGGCAGCTGCCTCTCAGGGCTGACGGCTCTCATCCCTTCTGCTTAGAACCCTAACTGGTCCCCGCTCCCGTCTGCGGGGCTGCTGGAACCCGGGGCCTTCCAAACGTGCTAGGCCAGCGGTGGCCCAGACCTCCAAACACGGAGCCTGCAAGCAATCGTGTAACTAACTTTGCATGGCTACCTTCCTTCAACCCCAACACGGGCACCCTTCCACCGATCCTCGACGAAGAGCCGTCCAACGCTCTGCCTCGGATCCATACATGACCGGCTGGGTGCCATTTCCTTTTACTATTATTATGACTTTAATGACTTTCTTTGGGAACAGGTTTAGATTTACAGAAGAGTCGCAAACAAAATACGGAACTCGTCCTCCACTCCGGCTCCCCAGTGTCTCCCACGACCACCCGACCCCTGCCTAGCCACGTTAAAAAACAAGAAAACCCCACAAACCCCCCAGGCCCGGCCTCCCCGTCCTGGGGGCCTCGCAGTCCCGGCCTCCCCGTCCTGGGGGCCTCGCAGTCCCGGCCTCCCCGTCCCGGGCCCCTGTTCCCCGGGCCTCCCCGTCCGGCCTCCCCGTCCCGGCGCCCTGCAGTTCCGTCCCCCCACCCCCACCCGTCCCGAGTCGAACGCGGCGATCAGTAATTACCATCGACGGACCCGGGCCAGGGAACACCCACGGCCGCGCGCGCTCTCTCCGGCCGGAGCGCGTCGCCCTTCGCCCGGATTCCTCCGGGAGTCCCGGCAAGTCGGCGGGCGTCGGCGGGTGACAGCGCCGAGGCTACGGACGTCCGCCCGGGAGCGC